AAGACTGCAGGCCCAAGGAGGACGACTCGTGCCAGCGGGCAAACAATTACATAACCTACAGCCTGGAGATTTTGTGTTTCTTAAAAATTTCAGAAAGAAGAACTGATGACCGCAGTGAAGATTGTGGATTTTCTTATATCCACCTGGGTCCTCACCAGCCACTGACGAGAAGTTCACTGGGAAATCAAATCGCCCAGAATCAATTTTTTGTTCTTAGAAGATTGAGTCTCCGCCTCTGTTATCAGAAAGGTGAATAAAGCAACTATGAAACTCTAAGTTCGTTGGAGCAGAATGATTTTCGCCTGATGCAGTGTATTTTTGCTCTCTGTCTGCAGATGTATTAAAGATCGTTTTTGCTCCCTGATTTTTTTCTTTACCTCACTCTCTGAATTGTGCAACTTCACAGTATTTTTTCCATCTCAGCCTCACAGTTAATGGTGAGACACTTTTATATTGCTTGAATCAAACTTATGTGGTCTTTATTTTCTCTAATAATGTTTGTTTTATTTCCAATAGACTCATTTCCTAATAATACTCCAGCAGATGAAGGTTGGAGCCAGTCTGCAGTGACTCTTCCTTCTGCTTTGACTGCTGCAGGTTTCTTGGTTGTCATATTTTCAGTTATTCTGGGATTAATCTGCAGAAGACGTCCACAACGGTGAGAAACTAATTCAATATTCATAATTTCTTTTACCTCAATTCAAGCTTTATAACTGAAGCTCCAGATTTCAAATTTCACTTACAATCTTTGTCTGCATCTTCAATATGATTGTTTTATTTTGAATCTAAACTTTTGTATCTTTGAACATATTTTCTTAAACTTAAATAGTGAGTGTATTAACATAATACACTCACTATTATACATTGTTATGTTATATTGAACTTTCACGTAAATCTGGAGTTTATTTCAGTTTTAAAGCGCCTGTCTAAACGCTGAAACATCTGGATCGTCTGCAGAAGGAGAAACTGGCCCTGTAGTGAGTAAATATCCTTATTTTATAAGGAAATATTTTCAGATTGTCACAAAATAGACTAGAAAATGCAGGAGGAACATGTTTTCCTTTTACTCTGTAAAAAACTGTCTTAAAACTTTACCTCTAAATTTAGATTTTACATCCATTCATCTAGTGGTGGTTTTTATGACATCCAGTACTACTAGTAACATTACAATCACTAGATGGCACAATACTTACTTTTCCTGAATACTGAAATAGTGAGTTTATTAACATAATCGATAGTCAGAAACGTCTGTGCCGTTTCCTAACCAGCTGCACATCATTTCCTGTCAACATCATATTTAACTTGATGACGTTTCTGATTAATTCTGGTTCAATAAACAGATTGTTTCAGCTCCAATAAAGGAGCAGTGACAGAAATCCAAAAATATCTTTATTGCATGTGCTTTACAGAATGACCACAAGATGGCACTGTTTCCATCAAGCCCAACTGCACCATTCTGCCAACTGAACCTGCTTCATCAGGCTGAACATCCACAGCCAGGATAGTATGGACAGTATGGACAGCCAGGACAGTATGGACAGCCAGAAAGCCTCACACTGGCTGACATTTCTTTTATCTGCAGACAACAAGGACAGTGAGCCAGAGACTTCTTCCAGAGACGATTCAAACCACAACCAGGTGGCCGAAGGTTGCACAGGGGCCGAGGAGGAAGATTTGATGGCAACCAGGGAAGCTTCCCCAGGGGGTCAAGGCTTTCCTTTCAGAGGTGGATTTACAGGACATCGTGGAGGGTGTTCCACCTGACTATACCAGGTTCTGTTGTAATGCAAATTTGACTGACTTGTAATTCTGATGGCGTCCAATGTGTTTTTGTGTCTGTTTCATGTTGGAGTGAATGATTGTTTACGTGTTATGTTTGTCTCAGTGTTCTGTGTTTTCATGCGCATGCGAAGAAGATAAAAACACAATCTTATTTGCAGGATTTCACAAACATTGCAATGGGACCACCGATGAAACCTGGAATTATTTCAACAACATGTAATGACAACATGATTAACTTCTGTATTTCTCTTACAGATCAATTAAAGACGGCAGGCCCAAAGAGGACGACCCGTGCCAGCGGGCAGACAATTACATAACCTACTGCCTAGAGATTTTGTGTTTCTTAAAAACTTCAGGAAGAAGAATTGATGACAGCAGTGAAGGTTGTGGATTTTCTTAAATCCACCTGGGTCCTCACGAGCCACTGATGAGAAGTTCACTGGGAAATCAAATCGCCCAGAATCCCACCAAGGGGATTCCAACAAAGTATCCCTGAAAAAATAGGGATACCACCAACGGCCCACTCAGTAGGTGGTCTACCTAGCTGAGGCAGCATGGAGAACATGGTTGGGATGGGACATCGACGCAGAACAACACCAACGTGGATTAAGGATGCCATACTTCATAAACCACAACTCTCCTGATGTTGAGATTGAGTTTATTTTATCTTTGCATTCTTCAGAAGTGTAACATTTTTCCATTTCTTGTTTTTGCTTTACTTAACATCAACAGAAGACAAAACTCTTCCTGAAACTCCTGTGATGTTTATATTCTGAACCATTGCTTAATGACCAATGTAGACTGATGTGCTGTGTTTCTCAACTGTCTTCTAGCACTTTTTACTTCATTTATACTTCATTTGATCATTTCTAGGTTTCATTTACTTAGTTATTTGTTTGCTATCCACTAGAAAAAAGGGTGAAGTTGTGAAGTAGATTTTTTTTTCAAGAGAAAATCTCTTATTTGCATCATACAGTGTAGCAATAGTAGAGATGATTTTTCGTGCAGCTGCAGAGAGGGTGTACAAACTAATTGAAAAAGATGTTTCTGGGATCTTGCTGTTTTTCCCGTGTTCTTCCCTGCATGTAGATGGTGTTCACATTTCACATCCTGTAGACATGATAGTGAATGAGCGTACAACATTGTTTCTTTTTTCCTTTGTTTCTTTTGTTTGTTCTTAGAAGATTGAGTCTCCGCCTCTGTTATCAGAGAGGTGAATAAAGCAACTATGCAACTCTGAGTTCGTTGGAGCAGAATGATTTTCGCCTGATGCAGTGTATATTTGCTCTCTGTCTGCAGATGTATTAAAGATCTTTTTTGCTCCCTGACGATTTTCTTTACCTCAGTCTCTGAATTGTGCAACTTCACAGTATTTTTTCCATCTCAGAATCACAGTTAATGGTGAGACACTTTTATATCGCTTGAATCAAACTTATATGGTCTTTATATTCTCTAATAATGTTTGGGTTTTTTTCTAATAGACTCATTTCCTAATAATAATTCCAGCAGATGAGGTTTGGAGCCAGTCTGCAGTGACTCTTCCTTCTGCTTTGACTGCTGCAGGTTTCTTGGTTGTCACAGTTTCTGTTATTCTGGGATTTATCTGCAGAAGATGTCCACAACGGTGAGAAACTAATTCAATATTCATAATTTCTTTTACCTCAATTCAAGCTTTATAACTGAAGCTGCAGATTTCAAATTTCACTTACAATTTTTATCTGCATCTTCAATAGGATTGTTTTATTTTAAATCTAAACTTTTGTTTGTTTGATCATATTTTCTTAAACTTTACCTCCAGATGTTATATTAAACTTTCATGTAAATGTGGAGTTTATTTCAGTTTTAAAGCCCCTGTCTAAGAGCTGAAACCTCCGGATCGTCTGCACAAGGAGAAACTGCTACTGCAGTGAGTAAATATCCTTATTTTATCAGTAACTATTTGAAGATTGTCACAAAAAAGTCTAGAAAATACAGGAAGAACATATTTTCCTTTTATTCTGTAAAAAAATGTCTTAAAACTTTACCTCTAATTTTAGATTTTACATCAGTTCTTCTAGTGGTGGTTTTTATATTGACACCCAGTACTACTAGTAACATGACATTCACTAGATGGCACAATACTTACTTTTCCTGAATACTTCAATAGTGAGTGTATTAACATAATCGATAGTCCGAAACGTCACTAACGTTTCCTAACCAGCTGCGCATCATTTCCTGTCAATATCATGTAACTGGAGGAAGTTTCTGATTAATTCTGGTTCAATAAACAGATTGTTTCAGCTCCAATAAAGGAGCAGTGACAGAAATCCAAAAATATCTATATTGCATGTGCTTTACAGAATGACCACAAGATGTCAGTGTTTCCATCAGGCCCAACTGCACCATTCTGCCAACTGACCCTGCTTCATCTGCCTGTCCTGAACATGCACAGCCAGGACAGTATGGACAGTATGGACAGACAGGACAGTATGGACAGTCAGAAAGCCCGACACTGGCTGATGTTTGTTTTTATCTGCAGACATCAAGGACATTGAGCCAGAGACTGCTTTCAGAGACGATTCAAACCTCAACCAGGAGGCCGAAGGTTGCACAGGAGCCGAGGAGGAAGATTTGATGGCAACCAGGGAAGCTTCCCCAGGGGGTCAAGGCTTTCCTTTCAGAGGAGGATTTACAGGACATCGTGGAGGGTGTTCCACCTGACTATACCAGGTTCTGTTGTAATGCAAATTTGACTGACTTTTAATTCTGATGGCGTCCAATGTGTTTGTGTCTGTTTCATGTTGGAGTGAATGATTGTTTACGTGTAATGTTTGTCTCAGTGTTCTGTGTTTACATGCGCATGCGAAGAAGATAAAAACACAACATTATTTGCAGGATTTCCCAAACATTGCAATGGGACCACCGATGAAACCTGGAATTATTTCAACAACATGTAATGACAACATGATTAACTTCTGTATTTCTCTTACAGATCAATTAAAGACGGCAGGCCCAAGGAGGACGACCCGTGCCAGCAGGCAAACAATTACATAACCTACAGCCTGGAGATTTTGTGCTTCTTAAAAATTTCAGGAAGAAGAACTGATGACCGCAGTGAAGGTTGTGGATCTTTTTAAATCCACCTGGGTCCTCACCAGCCACTGGCGAGAAGTTCACTGGGAAATCAAATCACCCAGAATCCCACCAAGGGGATTCCAACAAAGTATTTCTGAAAAAATAGGGATACCACCGACGGCCCACTCAGTAGGTGGTCTACCCAGCTGAGGCAGCATGGAGAACATGGTCGGGATGGGACATCGCTACAGAACAACACCAACGTGGATTAAGGTTGCCGTACTTTATAACCCACAACTCTCCTGATGTTGAGATTGAGAATGTTTTTTATTTCCAATAGACTCATTTCCTAATAATAATCCAGCAGATGAAGTTTGGAGCCAGTCTGCAGTGACTCTTCCTTCTGCTTTGACTGCTGCAGGTTTCTTGGTTGTCATATTTTCAGTTATTCTGAAATTTATCTGCAGAAGACGTCCACAACGGTGAGAAACTAATTCAATATTCATAATTTCTTTTACCTCAATTCAAGCTTTATAACTGAAGCTCCAGATTTCAAATTTCACTTACAATCTTTGTCTGCATCTTCAATATGATTGTTTTATTTTGAATCTAAACTTTTGTATCTTTGAACATATTTTCTTAAAATTTACCTCCAGATTTTATATTGAACTTTCATGTGAATCTGGAGTTTATTTCAGTTTTAAAGCGCCTGTCTAAGAGCTGAAACCTCCGGATCGTCTGCACAAGGAGAAACTGCTACTGTAGTGAGTAAATATGCTTATTTTATAAGTAACTATTTTCAGATTGTCACAAAAAGGACTAGAAAATACATCAAGAACATGTTTTCCTTTTATTCTGTAAAAAAATGTCTTAAAACTTTACCTCTAATTTTAGATTTTACATCCATTCATCTAGTGGTGGTCTTTATGACATCCAATACAACTTGTAACATCTCAATCACTAGATGGCACAAAACTTACTTTCCTGAATACTTAAATAATGAGTGTATTAACATAATTGATAGTCAGAAACATCATTTCCTGTCAACATCATATTTAACTGGAGGAAGTTTCTGATTAATTCTGTTTCTATAAACAGATTGTTTCAGCTCCAATAAAGGAGCAGTGACAGAAATCCAAAAATATCTGTATTGCATGTGCTTTCCAGAATGACCACAAGATGGCACTGTTGCTCTAAGGGAGAGAATTTAATTTAGGAACTAAACTGCACTGTATGCAAACACTGATCTTTGCATTTAAGCAACAATTCAAAAGTGAAAAAGGAAAAAAAATTGATAAGAACTAAATGATTAATGTATCTATTTACTCCTGTCTTTTATTAAACAGTTATTTAAACGTCTTTTCCCAACAGAGACATTAAATTATGTTTCACTTGACTTTGGCCTTTTGGCCTTCTTATTACTATATTTTTGTCTTTTATTGTTCAGGATGAACTGTACTCAAGTCTCCCACAACAAACCAGAGACATTTATCAAACTGTCTCCTTTGGTCACCATCAGTATAAATCAGAAACAAATGACGGGCTGGGAAACATTTATGAAAAAATTTTGAATTATAGATCTGTCTTGATGAATACAACAGGATTTCCTCGTTATGTTGTACTTCACAACCTTTCTGTTAGTTTGCATGTTGAACTTTATCACAAAAAATCATTTATCTTTTGGGCATTTTTACTTATTTCTACTTGATTTTGCTTTTATGTCATGTTTCTGACATATCTGGTGTGTTTTTTTTTTCTGTAAACAGCTCCCACATTTTTATTTTAAAAATGAGATATTAATAAATCTACTCCACCTTTGAAAATGATGGCCACTGTTTCACCTGTATAGCACAATAATTTACAATAGGATCTGATTTCTGTTTCTACATGGAAGGATATAATTTTATGTTTGATGGAAGATTAAAATAAAAACAGTCACTGAATATCCATGAACATTTTTGTTTTATTGCTACTTAAAAGTGATGCCACAATGCAAGCCTTTCTGTTGTTTTAGTTTTGTTGTCTGTATAATTTGATTCTGGCTGTCGCTGAGCAAAAACCTTAATATCAAGATGTTAAGAATTTACTGTCATACAGTAAATAGTGATATTTCTGATAGCATCTGCAGTTGTGATAAACATTCAAGAAAAAATATATGTACCTATAAACATTTCAAAATGAAAGGAGAACAAATGTATTAACTTTTTAAAACTTTGTATTAACCAGCAGTTCTAATGCATTTGTATTCGTACATCTTTGCAGTGAGATTCGTCTCTCGGATGTTGGTTGCATTTTTCTGTCTGGTTGCCAATATGTTGGTGTAAAAGTGTTGCATTAAGGAGCAATGAGGGACAAACCCTACATAAAGCTGTAGCATGACCTTTCATCTTTTTGCAGCTCACATTCAAGCTTATAAATGTGTGAAGACCACAAAGCAAACATGACATTTAGATCTCCTAACCCCACATTGTTGCAGAAAACAAGCAGGAAATCCTGCCGAGCATCATATAATGCTGACAAAGCTTTAATCTCAGATGTTAAGAGTACTGGAAAATATAATCATGGATAATAGTTGATTGTTTTGCTTTCAATCAAACTCACTCTTATTTGAGTTGGGCAGAGTTCATTCCTGTTTGTGTGGTCTGTTGTTTCAAAGAGACGCCATCATGCAGGTGCATTTCCTTTAAAAGAAAAAAAAAAGAGAGAGTCACATCCTTTTGTGCTGGTTTGAGAGATGAGCGTTTGTGGTTTGTGTCGCCAAAAAGTTTTAAAGGACAGTTCAGACGTCCTCAGTGCAGCAGCAGATTTGGATGAAATAAGCAGGTTAGATGGATGCAGTGAGATTCAGCATTTTACTGCTACTACTGTGGTTTGGCTGCCAACTGGACTCTACAGGTAACGTAAAAATTGAATTGCTTTGAATTTAATTTTGAGGTTTTTTATCAATATCTAACTATACTTGGATCTGACTTACTTTAAATTCCACTGCTTCATAGATGAGACAGTTTGTCATTCATTGTTCTTTTTTGTTTGCAGCACCTCTTGTAAAAACAATCGGAAAAGAATCTGATTTTACTCCAATCTGCACCAATGAAACGTCAAACATCATCATGATGATTGTGTGTAAAATCAGAACAGAGAGGAACAATAGAGAGGAGTCCAATCTGCTGTATCAGGATGGAGGTGACTTTGTTCATCAGTGTGACTCCAGATTCTCACTAAAAACCAGGAATCAAACTGTGTTTCTGCACCTGACCAGTTTAACAGCAGCTGATAGTGGGAACTACTCCTGTCAGTGTTTAAATCTTAATGGAACACATTTTCTTCATCTCAGCATCACAGTTAATGGTGAGTGGATCTATTTAATGTTATGTCAAACTCATATGAACCATATATTCTCTAACAATGTTTGTTTTATTTCCAATAGAATCAAATCCTAATAATTCATCAGATGAAGTTTGGAGCCAGTCTGCAGCAGTGACTCTTCCTTCTGCTTTGACTGCTGCAGTTCTAATGATCAAGGTTTCTGTTATTCTGGGATTTATATACAGAAGACGTTCACATCGGTGAGAAACATGCAATATTTTTTCTTTTATTTACACTTAGGCTTATCAACATAAGCAATATTTAAATAAAAAAAAAGTACCTTATCTGTAAAAATAAAATCAATCAAACAAGTCAATGTTGCATTAATTTATTTCCCAACAGAAAGCAAATGGAGTCATGCATTCATCATGTAGAGGAGGTAATTTATATTTTAAAAATTGATGCATTATTTTATTGACACATGCAAATTTTTAGGCTAATTCTATGACATGTTTTGTTCTGCAGGACTTGACTGAAATTGAGCCGTACAGCTCCTACACTCAGAAAGAAAATTCTCTTTATTCAACAGCCATTATTGCTCAGCTGTCAAATTAATTCTGATTCTTCAAATTTAACAAATTTATCATCATAATTCTTGGGATTTTTTGTTTCTGGCGTATTTCAGATCATTTCCTTTTGATTTATTTATGTCCAACAGGTCTTGACACATTGGGTTCATTTCCCAGTGTTCATTATAAGTTCCTTTGATAAAGACATGTTCATGTTCATATAATAAATGTATATGTACATCCATTAACATCCATTAACATGTTTCCAGAGATCTCAGCAGCATGTTGGTTTAGTATAAATGTACAAATCAACAAAGCAAACACAAAGGAAAGTTATCATTTTTGGTCATTTATTTAAAAAAATAAAAAATACATTTGTTAATTTGTGTTGTGTAAAAATAGGTTTGTGTAAACATGTAACATTGCTTGTTTTTGTTTTTATTTACTGTAGGAAAACATAACTGAACAATGTCTCACAAATTTAGAAAAAAAACCCAAACAATTTTAAATTAAGAGTCAGACTTGGTCAGACTATGATCAGCCCTGGTCACCTTTAAACCAAATTAGACATCAGTTAACATCTTTTTGGGTCATCTGTCACTTTTTAACCACATTGTTTTAATAAAAAATGCGGTTTATTTATTGTCTCCCATTTCAAAAAGGGTTTTGCAAAATTGTGCAAGTTTGTTGCATATCTCAATATCTAACTATACTTGGATCTGACTTACTTTAAATTCCACTGCTTCATAGATGAGACAGTTTTGACAAAGCAGCACATGATAAAGATCTTAAGTTTTTTTCTTTAAATTTGTTGAAACATTCAGTAAAATCAAATGTCAGAAAACTATTATTAATCTTCTCATCACACTTCCTGAGCTGGTGAGTTGTTTATGTGATATGTGTAAGAAGTAATCGTCTTACACATATTATGTCCTGGATACTTTTGTTATGACATGATTTAATAATAATAATACAAAGAAAAAATACATCTATTTAAAAGGATCTATTTTTAACATAAATAAATGGAAGAAATGTATTTTTGCAGTACATTAAGAGTATTATTACTCATAATGTACTGCATGCTGTAATCTGCAGTGTGACGTTTTTATTTCTCTTTACAGCTCATATTCACGATCCTAAACAAAGCAAAGCAAACATGACATTTAGATCTTAAGTTTTACTAACTAACCCCCTGCTGGGGCAGAAAACCAGACAGGAAGCAGGAAAGAACAATTTATAAGAAACTGATTTCTGTAATATTGGAATCTTTTAAAAATTAGAACAGATGTAAAACATTTCAACATGCCATGACAAACATGCTGTGTGCCGCCAGCTCTGTTTTGATCCAAGAGGCAACAGCACATTAAAATACATTTCAGTAACGGTTGATATAAATGAGCTTTTATTTCAAGTAAGCTTTTTACCTAACATTGCATTTAAGCTGTAATGTTGAGATGTGCAGAGAGAATTCTAGTTTGTGTTCTGATGTTTCAAAGTGACCCTGTGATGTAGACACATTTCCTTTTCAGGAAAAAAAGTGTTACATCCTCTTGAACCACTTTGAGAGATGACAATTTGTGGTTTGAGTTGTCCAATAAAAGTTCAGAGGATACTTGAGACTCTCTGTTCAGAGCAGCAGCAGATGTTGCATCGACAAGGAGGTCAGATGGACGCAGTGAGAATCAACCTTTTACTGCTTCTGCCGTTTTTTTGCATGATATCTGGACTCTGAAGGTAACGTTAAAGTTCAATAATTGAAATGTTTTACATCTGTTCTAATTTTTAAAAGATTCCAATATTACAGAAATCAGTTTCTTATAAATTGTTCTTCCTGCTTTCAGTGACTCTTGTGAAAACAATCAGGAAAGAATCTGATTTCACTCCAATCTGCACCAACAAAACATCAAATATATTGATCATTTGAAAAATCAGAACGGAGAGGAACAATGGAGAGGAGTGCAGTCTGCTCAGTGTGACTCCAGATTCTCACTAAAAACCAGGAATCAAACTGTTTCTGCACCAGACCAGTTTAACAGCAGCTGATAGTGGGAACTACTCCTGTCAGTGTTCAAATCTTAATGGAACAAATTTTCTCCATCTCAGCATCACAGTTAATGGTGAGTGGATCTATGTTAATGTTATGTCAAACTCATATGAACCATATATTCTCTAACAATGTTTGTTTTATTTCCAATAGAATCAACTCCTGATAATAATCCAGCAGATGAAGTTTGGAGCCAGTCTGCAGCAGTGACTCTTCCTTCTGCTTTGACTGCTGCAGTTCTCCTAATGATCATGGTTTCTGTTATTCTGGGATTTATATACAGATATATACTGTTAAATAGTTATTAACTATTTAACAGTATATATCTGTTATTTACTGTTATTTAAATAACAGTAAACAGTTCTTTATTTAACAGTTAAATAAATATTGATTTATTTACTGTTAAATAGTTAATAACTATTTAACAGTAAATAGTTATTTACTGTTAAATAGTTAATAACTATTTACTGTTTATTTACTGTAACTATTGTTGTATTGTTGTTTTCAGCAGCTGCTAACAACAACAACGCAGTAAAATCATATTGATCTTTGACAAACTTAATAGTTTTGTCAAAGATCAATATCATTATTTTATAATGATTATTTTTATAATTACATCAACACTGTGTCTCCAGTTATAAAGTTAAACTGAAGGAGAGATTGTTTTATGGTTACAACGGTAACCATAAAACATCAAGTGAAACAGTAACAAAAAAGACTTTAGTAGTTTGTGCTTCTTTTTGTGTTTCTATTGTCTGGAAAACAAAAATAGTATTTTAACACCTAAAACAGCAACTCATAACATCAGTAAGCTACTTAAAAAAAAAAGAAAAAGCCCAAAATGGCTTCTAATAATCGGACATTTGGAGCAGAACTCAAA